TAAAGATTTTAGCATCTTCCAGCTTGTTTGGTTTATATGGTGCTCAACTTTGTCTAACTCATGCTTCCAACCTTACCTGCTCCAAATGATTGGTTCTGAATGTGTTTATTCAGTGAATAGTACAGTATTTTCCCCTGAGGGTGGCTGGCTACCTTTAGAGATGAAGAGTTCAGTCATTCCAGGGGGGCTCAGAGTAGAGCCGCTATTCCTCCACATCAAAAAGAGTCAGGTTAGGTGTTCAGGCCATATCCTATCATAAAGAGGCTATCAGGGTAGACCCAGAGCACACTGGTGAGATTATATCTCTTGGCTGTCCAGGGAATGCCTCGGAGTTGACTCACTGTTCAATTCTTCCAACCAGCATTTGACTGACCAAGTTCAGCAACCAAGTTCAGTTTGCATTTTGGAGAAAAGCATGGGAACACGTTTGCGGTGGGTGGAAATTCCTCTCTGTTTATTTCTGTCTTAAGTCAGTCTCTATTGCATATGCAGACAGGGACATTTGTGGGACCATACATTACGCTTTAGCTGACAACTTGTAGGTTTGCTGCTTCTCAAATGAGGCAAATGGCTTCCTATGTTCAAGATTAAGAAATTTTAAAGATGACAATGCGGTCATTATATTGTCTAGTTATTAATTCTTCATTTATCCAAATTTCACTTCCAAGAGAGACCTGGCATCATGGCAGTAAACGTCAAAACAGATATAGCATTTAACAAGATCATACATTACCGTGACAAGGAAGAAAGACTTTTCTATGTGCAGGATGATGCAAGATGACTCAAGCAACAACTCATTGTTTTTCTGCAACTATCGTGCTAACTAGCTAGCTACCTTTTCTCAAGCAAAGTTCCACAAAGAAGCACAAATATTTGATGAGCACAAACTATTTTTAACCAATTTTATAGAAAAAGGAGTAGGAAATACTCTTTTTACATGTTTTAATTCATGTCCCATTTTGACAAACCATGGTTTTCCAATGTCAAAATGTGATAAACATCTTTGAGGTATGTACAAGATTCCTAGTCTCCTAGTGGTAAGGAAAGAGATTGGGGCAAGTAAACAATTAGTATGTGGTTGAGTTAGAAATGTTTAGTGTTTTGCTGAATGGTGTTTCAGAAGCTTTTCTTTTACAACAGTTTGCTACACATTCGACACATTTATCTCATTCACTGAGATCTAAATTGTTAAATATCACTTATCAAATAAAACAAACCTTCTACTGACTGTTTGCAGGAATCCGCCTTGGATTTACATAACTGCACTACATAATGAGGAAGTGAGACAGCCTGTTGTAAGGGCGGCTGTAGCTCAGGAAGTTGGGCAGGTTATCTACTATTTGGAAGGTTGGTGGTTTGATCCTTGGCGGCTCCGGTCTGCATGCCAAATATCATTGGGCAAGAGACGCATACATGTGAACGGCAGATCGAGTTCAGCAGAAAAAAGTGATTGTGTGAACGAGGCAAGTTGTATAAAGTGCCTTAAAGTCTCACAGGTAGAGTAGAAAAGTGCCACGTAAGCACCAGGCCATTTGCTATTACCTAAGCGTTCTGATCCAAAGCTTTTAGCAGAGCACTTGTTTGTGTTGTGCTGTGTTGTTGAGCTAATCTGTGGCAGAGATTAAAGAGTATAAATAAGAGCTGTTTCGGAAAGATGTAGTAAGATGCACAGCCAAACAAGTGAAAGTCTACTACCTGAACATCACAGCACCAAAAAATATGTTAAATCCATGCTAACACACTGTGAGCTTTGCGCATTTATAGTATCTTTATTTACATTTGCAAAGATAATTAGGGGATGTAATCCGACTCATCTGCCTTACTTTGGGCTAAGTTCATATATAAATAAGGCACACAGTTGCTTGTGTTTAAACAGAAAAGCAAAGAGGGCCTTAAAATGTAGCAAAAAATACTTTTCCATGAAACAGGAGGATAATCACTAGCTTTACCTGTTAATTGCAGTAATCCAGCTGCACTCTATGACATGTAATTATAGTTTGATTTGTTCTGTATCTACCCACTTGCTATAAAAGAAGCAGGTTCTTATTCCAGGCTTTTTGACAGATCTCAGATCAGCGAGTGCTTACTGGAATCAAGCAAAGAGGTGAAGTACAAAAGGCTGAGTCTGATCTGGAATCAGAGTAAAGAGGTGGCACTTCTGCTCTTAAAGTCTTGCTCTGGCTTGTTTATAGCAGGTCATCTGCCTGTGCATGACACATGTTTATGAAATTTTATTAATTAAAGGTTTGAGTCGGCGGCTGAATCTTGACACAAAGATTACAACTCTGGTAGGGAAACAAGAAGAGGCTCCTTGTTTTAAACTGTGTCTGTTCATCCAGAGACACTTCACACATTTTGTGGTCTCAGTTCACAAACACAATAAAGGGATCAGACTAGAAACCATTAAAGTGGGACACTGGATTTAATCTGTGTGGGTAAATGTGTGTTGCAGATGGAAACAGATTTAGTGCACAAAATCACAGGAACCACAGGATACAGCTAGCCTGGCTCCATTCAAAGCTTTTAACATTAAGTAATAGTGATAGTCAGTTTACAAAGGATTGTTACTATTGGTGTCGATGGGTACGATCACCGTGTAGTATTAGCATTTTGGTCACCACCATGTAAAGTAAGTAAGTAAAGTAAAATTTTATTTGTATAGCACCTTTCAAGACAAAAATCACAAAGTGCTTCACATGGTTGGTGCTTGTCCATGCAGAGCCCTGAATGTCAAAGTCAAAATCTTGAAGTGGATTCTGAATTTTATGGGGAGCCGGTGCAACTGGATCCGCAGGTGTAACGTGGAGGATTTAGAAGATTTGGTCAGAAGCTTTGCGGCAGCGTCCTGAACAACTTGCAAATGATCCACAGAGGCTTTACTTAAACAAGTGAACAAAGAATTGCAATAATCCAAACGAGATGAAACAAATGCATGGATGACCATTTCTAGATCTGAGCGTGAAACAACAGGACTCAGCTTAGCAATATTTTTTAAATGATAAAAACAGGAGCGAACCAATAAATTTGCATGAGTGTCCAAAGTCAGAGCTGAGTCAAAAGTTACACCAAGGTTCCTGATAGAAGGTTGTTGGCTTTTTGGAGCCTGAAGTTAGCATATCTGAATAGAGGGTTGAGTGTTAAAAGGTCAAACTACTTTGTACACCCACCATTGTCACTTCTGTTTTTTAATATGAAAACCTGAGACGAGGTGTTTATGGTACAATGTTCTTCGTGAGACAAAGCTGGTTTAATGTGATCGTAGCTCAGCAGATGATCCAACAGATCAGAGGAAATTAATTCTGTACTGTCCTTTAGTCACTTTACAGCTTAACCTCGATCTGCTTTGAAGGCCAGCGATCCCCAACCTTTTTTGCACCACAGTTCTTGTCCGACAATATTTTCATGGACCGGCCTTTAAGGTGCCACGGATAAATACAACAAGACCAAACCAAAAAAAAAGAAAATGTATTCATAACTAGTGCTGTCAGTGTCAATCTCGTTAAAATGACGTTAACGCCATAACTGCATTAACGCGGCAAATCTCCGTTAGCAAGTTAGCGCAGATCAACCCGTGCGTGGGGCTGCATGGTAACGGCGTCAACGCGTTAGCGTGGTAAGCTCATTAACGCATTAGCGCCGTGCACGCACGGTCGATCCAACTTCTTTTCTTCTTCTCAGAATACTGGGGGAAAAAATAAAAAATTGTGGCCCTAATCGTCTTCCGTATCCGTAGATTTTAGTCTATGGCCTGTCAAATTTTAAAAATATTTATGGTTAGTGAGTTTCAAAATGTGTAGAAAAACTTAATACGGGTTCATATTTATAACATTAACTTTCTTTCCTCCCTTTTTGCTTCTTCCATTTGACTTTTCATGTTTTTGGGGAAAAAAGGACAAACCAGAGCACACACAACATTCACCCTGATATTTCCTCCTGCAAGGCCTGAACTACCAGGCTGCTTTCTTTTGCAACTATGCTTCCAGAAATGTTGGAAAGCCCACACAGAAGATTTCATTTACATCCTGGCTTATCTGGACCCTATACACATTCAGTAAATTTCATATAACTGAACATATTTCTGTTTCAAATTGTTTTAGAGTCCAGCATTTTTGTAAACAGGATCACTTAAAAAAAAAAAAAAAGAAAATGCCTGATACAGTAGTGCTGAATGTCACCTATACTTTTACTACTTCTTTCAAGGCTACAAACCTCAATTCACATTGTTCCACATTCTTGGATTTTTAAGCAATATAAAAATAAAAAGCATCAGCTTTAAAAGGTCATTTAGGAGTCTGACCTATTACTCTCCTCAATAACATTCTCAAAGTCACCAAAATGTGGTGTCCTATTGAATCCTGACATCCTGGAGGCACAAATTAAAAAAGACTGAGCACATCAAATCAAAGAAACAGTGTATGGTCTCAATTTCTGCTGGTAGGTTGACTGATGGCTTTAAATTTATGACTTACTCATAATAGCAACTATATAAAGTTAGGAGATCAGACAAGCTGACGGCACCTCAATCCTCTGATCCTCAGGGATCAGATGGGATCTAAAAAAGACAAGACACTCAGGTTTGAACAAACAGTCATCTTTTTCACACCAGCAAAAAGTCATCCTTGTTAATATTTTAGCTGCCTGAAGCTATGATTCACAAACCAAATCTGAAAGCTCTCTGCATCCAAATATGAAGCATTAACATTACACAGCAACATATAGCATGCATTTTTAATTTCCATGCCTTTGATCTGAGACAACTTAAAAGTTCACAAACGTTACTTGAAACCGGTGACTTGGTGTGACTTTTGCAGGTATGTAAATAAAGACAATCCAGGTTTTATGACAATAATGCTGTTTGAGATGAAAGGACAGCGACCACTTTCATTTTGGTAAGTTTTGTGGGAGCAGAAAATATGAGCTCATATCACCCCTCCCCAACCTTTTGTGGTAAACTTATTATCCCGGTGCAAATGTGCCATAGCCTCTAAGAAATGTGCAGCTCTTTACTGACATCAAGTGGTTAAAATGACAGACGTGTACCTCCTTATAAATATTCAAATTTAAATATTCAGTACTTGGTCAAGTCTCCTTTAGCAGGAATTACTGCGTCGTTGTGGTTCGTTATGGCGAGCTGCCATCAGCTCTTTCTGCATTTTTTGTTTGGGGCCTTTTCCCCATATATACTCCATATATATGGGGATGGGGTTCAGGTCAGGTGAGGCAGTTGGCCAGTTCCATACAGTATTAATGTGGTCAGCGAACCATTTGGTCCTGCAGTAGTTTTAGCATTGCAGCCAGATACTGATTTCTTTTGTTCAGCTGGATTCACTATCACACAGATGCACACAAGAGCTCTCAAAGCTCCTGCTAAGCTGCTGTGTTGACTTTGGACTTCACAAAACACAGAAAATCAACCACTGCCAACAGCTACCGATGACTTTACAGACTGTGGAAACAGATTTCCAACATCTTGAATTCTGTACCTCTTGACTCAAACCCGTCATCTGAAAATAAAATCCAAGCTCTACTCATCTGAAAAAGTTAGGTCTAATCCACCGAGCTGAGAGGGATGATTTTATTCCACTAGATGTCACTGTTGGACTGAGAACATCTTATTAGGCTGTTCACAACTTATTTTCATATAAATGCCAAATGACATGTAAATATCAGACTTCTGGTAATTTAACCATTTGTTAATACTAGCATGAAACACAGAATGCTTCTGATTGGTCAGGTCTGCTTCACCGGTATTACTTTTGAATTTGGTTCATTAAATTTCTCTGTCCTCTGGAGCGAGGTCAGACCTCCTCTTGTGTAAACCATGTCTAACGAGGCCCAAAACCACCAGTGAGAACCAATTTTTATTTAATTGAATTCAGTCTACAATATGTTTTACAGTTTATTTTTTAACCACATTTTTCAGGCTTCTGTTCTCTCCTTTGCGGCAAATTTTCCTCAAAATGATGAGATCATAAATAGGATTGTGTTTACAAGAATATACATGGCAGTATCTATGAAATCTTTGCTGTGCAAAAGGAACAACGTCTAAAAGACTTTCAAACTACGTGTGACCAGAGTGAAGTCAGTCCGTAAACAATTAGCCTAAAATAAGTAGAAAGGAATGGCACTTTAGGGCTACTAAACCAAACACTGCTTCACTACTCTCCTCGATACACAACCACGTTCTTGTCGGTCTCATGAATCTTGATCTCATAGAGCAGGCCGGGCGGGAGAACCTTCACCATGTTGTCCCAGATGTAAACAGCCACGTTCTCTGTTGTGCTACGTGGGCAGATGAAAAAGTTTCAGTGAGGAAAAAAAATAAATAAATAAAATAAAATAAATCTGTAATAAGACCGGTGACAATAGCCTGAAAGGGTACACACCTGACAACAGTAGTAAAATATGGAACATCCTTATCCAGGTTTTTATGGTCCAGTGGAATCATGATTACTTCCTGCAGGGGAAGCACTGTTTTTAATTTAAAATGTTTCAAAAGACTGTACACCAACTGGGCAGTTAGTTACCAACTTCAGAGTTTGTTCTATACAAAGCTAATGTATGTCACCCTAAATGTTCCGTGTAAAACTAACAAATGCCAATTTTAGCCTGCATGTTGTAGAAGTAGTGCACAAACCAACTTAACATAATGAAAACCGTCTATAAACCAGTTAATATTTACAACAGTTAAAACTATACAATATTAATTTTAATTAGCACATAAGTAACTGAGTTATTTACTATCAAATTGTTAATAAAAACTGAATTATTAAATGAATCTTAGCATCCAAAACAGCTTTTATCAAGCTAAACAGTCCAAAACAAGTCTGTTTTTTTGAGTAACAATTAGCCAGTTTTTAAATTTCATTAAGGAAAAAAAAAAAAAAAAGTTACCTCGATACATTTCTTCAAGTCAGTCAGATTCATGACCATACCAGTTTTAGCATCAATCTGAAAACATACACAGAAAACACACTTGTTCCTGAAACAGGTTTTCCTATTTATTACTAGGGTGACATGGATTCCTCACAAAAATGTTGCAGATACCTTTCCACGCACGGTTACCTCCACTGTAGAGAGAAACGAGAGCGATGAATGAAGAGCATTACACTCCTAATATAGTTCGTTTAAGGGAAGGAGTGTGACAAACCTTTGTAGTTGTGTCCGTGACCGTTGGGATTGTTGCACTTTCCGTACACTTCTTTATTCTCCTCATCACTCAGGTGAATGCTGAATGAGATGTGAAGGAATAGTCAGGAAAGCCTTTTGGCCAAGACAGTCAAAAGCTCGTTAATGTGCATTTCTAACAGTCATGTAGTATAAAGAGATGACAAAAAGTATTTTGATTTTTAACAGTGTAACTGCCACATTATGTAGATGTATACCAGGTAACGTGTTATTGCTTAACAACAACAACAGAATTGTACACCAAACAATATAGTAAAAGACATTTATTAGCACAGCATAAACTGTTGATCTAGATCAGGGGTGGGCAACTCCAGTCCTCGAGGGTCGGTGTCCTGCAGGTTTTAGATCTCACCCTGGGTCAACACACCTGAATCAAATGATTAGTTCATTACCAGGCCTCTGGAGAACTTCAAGACATGTTGAGGAGCTAATTTAGCCGTTTAAATCAGCTGGACACATCTAAAACCTGCAGGACACCGGCCCTCGAGGCCTGGAGTTTGACACCTGTGATCTAGATCTAATTAAGTCGTCTCCAATTAATCTTTGGATAGGCTCGTTTTCGACAGAGCCCACTGCACGTAAATGCAGCATGAGTGGATATTCACGCGAGTCTTTCTCTGAGTTTAAGCAGAATGCCGCAAACACCAAAAGCTTTAATCCGCTAAAGAGCAAGAACACGGGTGTCAGTGACTTCCCCCTGCTCCAAACAATCCACATCACACTTATTCAGTATCCTAATCATCGCGCTTCACTTCTCCACGATCCTCCATCCACGACACACGGGATTTCACTCGCTCTTGTAAAAACACACTTCAGTACACGTCAAACGCAAACCCTGCGCCACCAGGTGAAAGCTACTTTGATTCGGCGCACTTCTGTGTGAGTGCTTTAAGAAGGTGTTTGAAATAAACCCGCTTTCGGGACGACTCTCCTCCCTAACGGAGGAGGGATGGAGGCGATGTACCTGTGAAGACGGTGACAAGCGCTGAAGCTCTCGATTCTGCTTATGTATCCGATGCGCTCCGCTGTGCTACTCTGCGCAGATGACCCTGCCATGATGTCACGGCACAAACACAAAGGGGGCGGCTTATATCAGCTGATAAACCGGAAGGAGAAGGTATAAAACCGTGACTCAAGCTGTAAGGTCATTGGCGCAAATCAGGGGCGTTATTATAAGTCACATGATGTACATATGCAACAAAAACCCTCAGGTGAAATTTGGAAGACCATGAATACATAAATACTCATCAATATAACACATTTTAATGCTGTAGATGCACATAAATAGATGACTACACGTGAGGGTCTTATCAGCAGGTAGTACCAGGTGTCCAACTTAAATGCACGACACTGCATTTTTATCCATAGTCTTCTTATCCTGCTTACACATTGTGATTGATTTACAAAAGTCAATATACGTGAGTCACTGGAAACAAAAAAGAATGGTGCTGATCTATGGGTGCATCCTTTCGGATACGTAAATATTATTAATAGAGCAGCAGCTGCAATAAGTTATTATATTATCAACAGTTATTTGAATAGAAAAAGTGCAATGGACATCATGAAAACATGAAACCTAATGTTATATAACACTTTACAACACAAACAAGACTCTTTCCCCCACATTTAGTTGCTGGTATCCAGTCATCCTGCTAATAGCAGCATAGCACTGTCAGCAAAGTCAATAAAGCCACAAGCTTAAACACAAATAAACCCTATTTCACGTAATCATCCCCATGTTGATGTCTGGTGCCAGCAATGACTAATAGGATGCGGTCAGCATTACCTGAGATACACAGGAATAAGAGGAAGAAGACGTCTGGGAGTTATTTAAAAAACAATGATCATCTGACAACCAAGCATGCACAGAATACAGTGTATGAATTACGAACGACAGGCTTAGAAAATAACTCAAAGACAAGAGCATAAAGTCATCCATCCGTCCTGTTCTCCCCTCGGGTGAACACAGTGAGACAAACAAGCATTCACACTCTCACATGCACCAGTTAATATACCATGCATGTCTTTGAAGCAAACTAGAGCACTAAGAGGAAAGTCACAAAGGCACAGAGAGAAAGAATCAATTCAAAAGCTAACCTACATGTTCTTCTTCTAAACCATGGAAGGAAATGCTGAGAAATATTTGGTCTCTGTTGTTATTAATTAAGAACTTTGTCTTACAACAATTTTAGAGTGGTCTTGCAGTTTCTCCTGGCTGTGTCATTTAGTTTAATTGTGAAACAACATCCCCCTGAGAAAACTTCTAAATGCTTCATTTGTTTGCTTCATTTCGACTGATTTAATAGGGAAAGCTGTTTTAATCACATACTGCAGTGTAATGCTGTGTTTGGTTTCCTTCTGGAGTAGGATTACTTTGCCACAGTGTCATTAGTGTGTGTAGCTGCTTCCGCTTTATAAGTCCTGCATGACTCTGTGATGTGAGTGCCACGCTGAAGCCCTGTGATTCCTTCTTTGCATTGCGGTGATCTTAAAACCATCATTATGTATATATGTGTGTGGGTTCCTCAACCAGATTGCCTTAAAGCTGTGTGATTAATTCCAGCATCTAATCCCAGTGTAGTGAGCGTGCTCTGCTTCAACTAATCCACAATGGTTAATGAGACGCTGTTTACTGCTTACTCTGTCTAATCCAGGAAATAGATAATCAACAGAAACAGGAAGTACAATAATCCTGACCTCTGAAATATTACTGTAAAAGCTGTAATATTTTATTCTGATGGAGACTTTACAGTGGATTTTAAAATTACGAGTTTCAGAACCATCATTTCTGCTTTATATGTTTTAAAGTGAGCAGCACCCTGTGGTGGCCTGCTATCTGACCCCCTCAAAATCAGCCAGATTTGTTTTACACCATTACTTTAGTATATTTAATAGGCACTTAAAGTACACAACCCCCCTTGTGTACTTCAAGCGCCTATAATTCAGAACATTGGTATGTATGGTAAATGTGGTAAAGAGTTGTTTTCAATAAATATAACGTACATATTACCAGCTACCCCTGACTAATCCTTAAACTGGCAAACCTTCACAAGACGAAAAAAATGAACATGATGTAAAGCTTGTGAAAAGGGACAACGCCGGCCTCTCTTTCCGATTCTGTTTGTCTTGGTAGAAATCACGCAGAGATGTTTCCATGTTTTACACAATCCTTTTATGACCCATTTTCCTTACAGATGCATCTGGAGATCAGCACACGGCAGTCCTATTCTAAAGGCTGATCTAAAGAATTCCACACAGCAGTTGCAGTTATAACCTCTGGTCACCTACTCCTACAGTAAACACCCCCAGGTACAGTGGCCGGGGGTGCTGACCCCCATCTCCTTTTAAGGTAGTGTCCATTGGCAATGGTCTGCCCCTCACCCTCAGTAACTCTTGCTTCCTGCCCTGGGGGTGGGGGTTGATTGTCCTTCTGCCCTGTACCCCAGTTCTTTGTTCCCATTCCAGGCCTATTTTCTATTTTGTATACCCATTAACTGCCATATTGTAATATTAAAAGCAATCCCAAACTATATTCTCTTTAACTCTGATGTATATTAAGGAATCTATTCTCAACAAGCTGAAATTGTCTATAAAGATGTCTCAAGCCTGCTCTGGAAGACAGGTAGGTCTGTGGAAAGGTGTTGTTGCATTTTAAGTTGTGTGCATATAACAATCTGATTTTGTGCTTGTAGCTTAGCGTGCAGTTCTTCTTCTTTGATGCTTAACAGCAGCTAACATCCAGAACGATGCATTACTGCCACCTGTAGGATTCTCCAGTCATTTAACGCCACTAACCAGTCATTCTGTTTGCTAATGAGCATCAGAGGGTAAAAGCTCTATCTTAGCTGCCTGGGTGGATGCTAGACTGAGAGTGTGTTTAGCATGTCTTCAGAAAGACAAGAGGGAGAAAGTTGGCACTTAAGTGGTTAAAGCCTCTGATGCTATGATTCCTGGTGCACCAGGGTGTTTATAACCATTTACCTTCATTAAAAATAGCAATGTGACTCTTGTATTTTCTGAGGCAGATGTTGATATTTACTTTGCTAGGTTTGAGCGTAAAGCTACTAAACTGCTACTAATGTTGCAGTTTAGTAAGTAAGGCACAGGGGGCTTGCTTTCCCCTGTTTCCCAAGGTCTAATTTACAAATACTTGAAGAGTGCAATTTTACAAGCACATGAACCTGTACCAGAAGCCTAGAGAGCATTTCCAGGGTATCCAAAACCATCTAGTCAAACCTACACAGACTTTACCAGAGGGAAGGGAATTTTTTTCGTTGGGGGCGTTATGCATCCAGGGCTATTGATTTAGCCATGGTGCAAGACTTATGCACTGAACTGTGCCCACATGTACTGGGGTGTATTTAGATGAACAAACTGTCAGTCATTTGTGTCAGACTAATTGTCTGTGGACTTGCAGGTTGACAAAATCTGCAAGATTCCTCTTCCTATAGCAAAGTTGTCACTTTGCTATGCCCAGTTCATGATGACTTTTCCGGCTTTAACTATTTTGGGTAACCTGTATGTATACCATGGCTCTTGCTGGGCCTTCTCTGTTGTTAATGTTTTTTTGTTGTTGCTTTTCATGTTCTCAGCCCACAGGAACACTTGTGAATGAACAGAAAGCTATTTCTGCAGACATGTTTGTAATGCTAGTTTATGGAATGATAAACCTCTGATGAAAATGGTTGCACCATGGAGGGTGATGCTACAGGCAAAGTGAAGGTGTGTCAAGATTTATAGGAAAGTAGGTGTAAATCAGGTGTAGCACCGTCATTCTTTATGATTAAAATCTGATGGAAATTATAGCTGGAAGGAACGATCTGAAACCACTTAAACGTAGATGGTGCTGAACTGATGCTGAGTGCTGGCTGTTTTATAACTGTTGGAGCAGAACTGTATGAAATTTGGTGCAAATTGGATTTTGTGCTGAGGGCGATGTAATTAACAGCTAGAACTACTAAAAGAAATGCCACTTATGTTGGCTGTCAGCAACATTTATTGGTGGTAAGAGGCCTAAATCTGGGCTCAGACTGAATGGATACACATAAGAGTTAAAAAAAGGCACATAAAAGAAAGGAAGGGAGAAATATAATAGACAAGAGGCAAAATAACTAGCTTCTATTCTTCCACTAATGCCAAGTTACATGTTACTGTACAAACACTGACAAAGTATTTGCTGCCTTCCTGCTTTCCCTCTTTTTTTGCATGTTGGTCACACTTAAATGTTTGAGACCATTAAACAAATTTGAATATTAGACAAAGATAACACAAATAAACACAATATGCAGTTTCTAAATGAAGGTATTTATTATTTAGGGGGAAAAATCCAAACCTGTTACATCTGCGACTGGGGAGAGTGCCCGCCCTATGGAAGACATCCTGCATCGTCCCGGTCCCCAAAAAGAACCGGCCCAATGAGCTGAATGACTTCCGACCGGTGGCACTGACGTCACATCTTATGAAGACTCTAGAGCGGCTCTTCCTCAACCTCCTCCGACCACAGGTACAACATGCCCAGGACCCACTACAGTTTGCATACAAGGCGGGTGTCGGAGTGGAGGATGCCATCCTGTACCTCCTACACAGAGCCCACTCACACCTGGATGGGGGAAAAGGCACGGTCAGGATCCTGTTTCTTGACTTTTCCAGTGCCTTTAATACCATCCGGCCCTGTATGCTTCAGGAAAAACTGAACAGGATGGAGGTGGACCCCTGCCTGGTGGCTTGGATCTCCGACTACCTCACCGACAGACCACAGTACGTCAGGCTGAAGGACATCACGTCTGACACTGTGGTCAGCAGCACAGGAGCACCACAGGGAACTGTGCTGTCCCCTCTTCTCTTCACCCTGTACACCTCTGACTTCTGCTACAACTCTGAATTATGCCATATTCAGAAGTTTGCAGATGACACGGCCATCATGGGGTGTATCTGGGATGATCAGGAAGAGGAGTACAGAAGTCTGGTGAGGAACTTTGTCGCATGGAGTCACACAAACCACCTGCAACTCAACACCTCAAAGACTAAGGAACTGGTTGTGGACTTCGGGAGGTCCAGAGAAGGTCCACTGCCGGTTCAGATAGAGGGGGAGGAGGTGGAGGTGGTCAACAAGTACAAGTACCTCGGGCTGTGGGTGGACAATAAACTGGACTGGTCATGCAACACAGAGCACCTGTATAAAAAAGCCCAAAGCCGACTGTACTTCCTCAGGAGGCTGAGGTCTTTTAACATCTGCAGGAAGCTCCTGAGGATGTTTTACCAGTCGGTGGTTGCTGGAGTACTTTTCTATGCTGTGGTGTGCTGGGGGAGCAGCACAGCAAAGAAGGGACTCATCCAGGCTGGAGAAACTGATCAGGAAGGCTAGCTCTGTGGTCGGCATGAAGCTGGACACTCTGGTGACAGTGGCAGAGAAAAGGACATTAAAGAAACTGATGGACATTATGAACAATGCTGGGCATCCTCTGCACACGGCCATAAACAACCAGAAGAGTCTGTTCAGTGACAGGTTGCTTCTCCCCAAGACAAGAACTAACAGACTTAAAAACTCCTTTGTCCCACACGCCATCAAACTGTTTAACTCCTCTCTGGAGGGGAGAGGGAGGGGAAACAGGAGGACAAAGGAGGGGGGAACAACTAAGCTGTAGTGCCTCTTCACCTCACTGTACAATACCTTTGTGCAATACTTTTTGTAAATAGTCAACAGTGCAATAGACTCAATACTTGAAATGTGCAATTCACTTGTATTTTTATTTTTTTCCTATTTATTCTATTTATCCCCTTGTATATTTTATTTATATTTCTCTGTATTTATATAGTTGTGTGTGTGTGTGTGTGTGTGTGTGTGTGTGTGTGTGTGTGTGTGTGTGTGTGTGTGTGTATATAATATTCTGTAACTCTGTAACTTCTGTCGGTGCTGTGCTTTTTTGGAAATCGAATTTCCCAGAGGAACCCACCCGAGGGATTAATAAAGTTCTATCTAATCTATCTAATCTAATCTACAGTAGGTATTCAAACACACTGATCAACCTATTCTCTGGGTTTGTGTCTGGGAATGTGTGTTTTATCAGTGCCTTACCACATCAGAGCACAAAAGCCAAGGCCAGGTCAGTTCTGACTTATTTGAGGAACGTCACACAGGAACAAGTGTCAGCTGTGAGTTTGTAGCTTATATGAATTCAGTGACTTGTGAATGCAGCACACCGTGAATACTCCCGTCATAAAATAATTTTTGTCAATTTTAACTTCTTTGTTGTTGTTTTGAATCCTTCTATGGTTACTTTGCTTTGATGTCATATTATGTAGTTACTTTCAGTCACCACTTCATTCCAATCTAAATAAAGTTCAAGTATAAGAACCCCAAGTGTGGTCCTGTGTGTGATTCAAGCCGCTACCGCTCCTCCCGACTCCTGGGGTGGACTGTGCGGCTCTTTCAGACTTGAAGCACTACAGTTCATGTCTGTGAACATGATAAAAATAATTTTGTTTATATCTCACAAACTGACTTTAGTCTCCATGGCAGCCCTTTACCATGTAAGTGTACACGGGAAAAAGGGAAATTTGTGTCCATGAACATAAATCAATAAATGAAACTATGAGACTGTGCACTCTCTGTGTCACTTCACATGACTCTTCAAGCACATGCATGAAATTCCATTTCAGTGTAACTGAATCTGTTTGGAAAATGTAACTGCAGTGTCTCAGGCCCAGATAGTGAGAGAAGAAGCACACAACCACACTTTAACTGCCGTTTTATTTCTATATATGATCAGTATCATATTTTGTGACACTACATGTACAAATCATCTTATAGTTTTACTGTACCTTTACATCACCTTTGATACATTTTGAGCTTCACAAGAATAGAAAACATGAAAAGCTTGCAAAACATTCTGCACATATTCACATTAAAACAACAAATACATTGTATTTATACACACAATTCAATCCAAATGTATCATATGGATATTTATAACTGGCCTGACATATTATATTGTGTAAATAAAACAGAGAAATGCTTAACACTGCTGTTTGTGTATAGGATAACTTTAACTGTGCGAGTACTAATATCAAAGGTGAACATTACGTGCCTGCAATTGTGTGGAATTCACTGAATACTGTAAGTACATAAGAATCTGATTAATGGATTTATAGCCATGGATGAAGCTTGTGTATCTTAGTGGCTGGGAATGCAGCAGGATAAATTGTCTTCTGGTGAATTTAGAGTAAACACGTTCTATACTGCAAGTTTGTAAAATTCACCCTGAATGAAAAAAAATCTATTTTATTTCGAAGAATGCTCTAATTACAATCTCAATGCAAACGTTTTCTCACAGGGTGTCTGTTAACCTCTTCTCCATACATTTAAACTTCCTGCCCATTGTGCAGTTATGTCTACCTTGGTGTCCCCTTAGTCAGCGAAGGCCTGGGGACTGAGGATTTGGACCACTGCTCTGAAACAAACAAGTTTTCTTGTTGGTGATCCAATCTTGAAAACGTATGTATATCAGAATTCACTCTCTTCCAGAATCTCTTCCATGGTTTCCCCAAGCGTCATCTCACCATCGCTACTGGATAGACTCTTCCTGGTGAGGAACTCAAGTCCTGTCACATCATAGCCATTCAGCGCTTGACCCTTAACTTCTCCTTTTCCGAGTACTCTGCCTCTGCCGTGCACAGCCACCTGGAGCAGGTGGGGGTGCATTGTTGAAATGCCGCCCTCGTCATAGGAGTCACTTTGCCGAGAGCACCGCGGATGATGTCCTCGAGTACATTTCCACAGGTGCTTCAGGGGCATTCCCCGAAAACAGGTCCTGACCTTGAAGTGGTTGGTGAACAAGAAGAGCTGCCAGCGCTTTTTTAGTTCAGCTTGTACCTAAAGATAAAGGTTCCCAGTTATAGCAGTCCATTAGGCATATATTTACATACATGTACATAATGGCACGTAGCTTCGGATTTATACTTTTTGGAGTTGCTGCAAGTTACTGACTGCCTTGTACGCAAGTTTTTTTAAAATCACAAGATTTTCAGAAAACGTAACCTCTGATCTCTGGCCTTGAGATCAATGTCACTGCAATTTAATCTTGTCCAACATTTTTTATTAGATGCACCAATAGCATCAAGTTGAAAATCTTAGGCGACTTAATTCTTGAGCTGTCACATTCACAAGATTTTTTAGAAACCTCTAACCAAAGTTGGGTTACAAATCTTTGTGTGTCTTGGGCCATTTGACCTCAATAAATCACATGATAGGGTGGGGCTAGGTTTCACAATGGGTTCACCCGAAACCTCGGCTGATTGTGACCCACATCTGTTTTCACACCTTGTGTGATTAGGTAGAGGATCAATAGGGGGTCCATGACCCTCTTGGGGGACACTCTCATAGGGCTTAAACTGTGGGACTGTTGCTCTTAGAACTGAAGAAGCTTCTCGGATGAAACGTCTTCAAGAAACTTAAAGAAGTCCAGACACTTTTTTTCCAAGCACCTTAGACTACGATGACCTGGATGACTGAGAACCTTCACAGACATTTAGTATCATTTAAAAATGGCCCATGTATTTGTTATACGCATCCGTTACACTCCTCTGACCGGCCAATTATCTCATTTGTTGGTTTCAAGTGTTATTAGTTGGGGCGAGGGGGCTGTGGTAGTTCACGGTTTATGGTCACCACTTTCCCTTGTGAACAATTGTTCTTGCACGCTCCACTTTGGTGTTATTTTGATTAGTTGTGCGCCTCATGATTTTTTTTAATGAGGATACTATCTTGTCAGTCTTTACCTTGTTCAGTGATATGTCAATATAGAAGCTCAGAGAACATCAGACCATAGAGGCTAATGTACTACAAGCTGGGGTTATATTATGAAGTACAAGCAGGTATGTGGTCTGCTAAACTGCAGAAACTGAAGAAAGAAGCTTTAAAGCTTTCAGGCAACAAAACAAGAACTTGTGCATTTTAAATTTATTTTTTTGTTAAGTTTTCAGTTCTTACTATACAATTTTCCTGATATCAAAACTGCATTTATTGTAACTGACAAAAGAAAAACATACCTCTCCATTAGCAAAGCAGTACAGAACAGCTACCAAGAACCCCTAAAAAAGATTGTACGCAACAAATAGCAGTTATAATGCAGTTTTAGAACAAAATAAAATTCTCATCAGGTGGATAATTTGTATTAGTGGTGTTACCTGGAATGAGCTGAGGGTGAGGTTGACAAAGTTCCGAGCATAGCGACTGCTTCCATCTACACACTCGTCTATCAGCACAGTGAAGACTACTTCATGGATTCCAAGCAGAGGAATCAGCACCAGTGTTGCTCTGGCCAAGCTAAAGTCCATAAACAAATACATTTATCATTGAGAATGAGTATGAGCATTTTTAGAGTGGAGTTATCCTTTGCTCTTTTTAAATCTAAGGGAATAAGAAACATTATATAACCTGTGCGTACATTTATATGCATGATTTTCCCTCGTGGTGTGACATTTATGGTCAGAGCTGTGGGGGTGACATTTGAATTTGTGCTGCACATGATTAACATTTAAATGGTAAGCCAGGAGTCTGCTGTACAAGTTTAAGAATAAGACTTTGGAAACGGTTCTCAAGATCAAGCTTGTTTCCTGACATTTAGACAGGGAAGCAGTAAAATCTTAAATACCTGTATCTGTAGTCGGTAAATTTCACCTGATCTGCTTTCAGCTTGGACAGCAGCAACATCAGAATCTTAATGAAGATAAAGAAAATAACCTGCAATATACAACAAAAGCAGGTTTAAATGAAATGCACATTAAAAAAGACTAAAAGTGTGTTGGAAATGCTTCAAAGTAAGAAGATGGCTAATATCATTCATACTTGTGACTACAGTAGCATCATATCACATGCCAACACGAGGCATAAACCATTACATGGAGAAAATTAGGGGGAAAGTAACTAATTAATTAAGCACTACTGGAGCCACATGACATATCTGTAACCAATGTGACTGTGCTATGGTTCTTTGAAAAGTGTGTAGAGGTTGTTGAGAAACTTGACTTACTAACACTGATAAAGTGATCGGGCCCTTTATGATCCACCAGAACCCTCTGTTAATAATGGACCAGCATCTAAGGAATAAAGGGTTTACGAGTCAAGCAGCAGTCTGTTAAACTGATTATTTTAATATAAAACATGTATTGAGAGACTTACTCTGTGTTTTCATATAAAATCTTGACCACTGTCCATGGTGTCACAAACAAGGCCGGAGTTCCTGAAACACCAATGACATGAGATGGTAGTTGAAACTGGAGCATTTCAGATTAACAGATCACACTTAAAGTGCACATGAATCAAACTACACAAGAAGACGCTATCGCTCACAGTTTTGAAGCACTACAAGTGCATGAAACCTTCACTGCCACGGGAAATGTTTCTGACTTGGACAAATGATCCTGCTAACAGATGAAACCCATTCAGTTTTTACCCACATGGAGAGAACCCATGCAACCACAGAGACAACATGCTAACTCCACAGAGAGCAAGCAGACTCAAACCCACAACCTTAGTTAACCACTGCACCATTGTGGAGTTAACATGATGAAATACCTAACTTAACATTTAATTCATCCATATATAGCTACTGCCTTGATCCAGTTCTTTATACTGGCAACCCTTTCTTGGATATCTGTGACTGTAATGGTTACTGGACCCTGTTCTGGGAGGTTGATGTGGTCTTGTCTCAGATCCACGAGCCATAGTTGGCTAATCTCCCCCCGTGCTACCTTGATCTTAGCCTCTAGTCGCCTTCTCCATGGAGGGTATTGCTCCTTGTGGCTGTTCAACTTGTAGCCAAGCATCTCACTGATCACTGCTGCCGTAGTGTAGATCAGCTTGTTAGTCACGGTAATAGTGACGGTAAGTATTGTCCATCGTGCTGCATTCACATCATCTAGTAGGTCTTCTGAGGGTACTTCACGTAGTCTTGGAGGATCCACGTTTCAAGCTTTGCCATGATTCTGTCTTTCAGGTCAGTTCCTCTCGTACTCAACGATCCTTCTTCATTCACACTTTGGGCTTGGTACCCAATCTCGGGTGGAGGTGATACTATCTCTCCCCTGACCTGCCATCCTGGCTCCCCCTTGCCGTAGCATGTGTGTTGTACCTTATCAATCTCTAGCTATGAGAGCCCCTTCTTCTTCTTCTTCCCTTCTTCCGAAAGTTGGAGCACTGAGCTACATTATTTCGCCGTCAATGTGGATGTTTGGTATCGAAGATTCCATCGGTCCCTTCATGTAACCCCAGTCAGCTTCTTCAGCCAGTAAGCGTGACCCATATCGGGGCCTGGTGCTGTCCAACTCTTCATACTGGCAAACCTTTCTTGGATGTCTGTCACTGTGATGGTTTATGGACCCTGTTCAGAGAGGTTGCTGTGGTCTGCTCTCAGATCCACGAGCCATAGTTGGCTAACATCTCTCCATGCTACCATGTTCATTTGTTTGTTCATTCTTGTGTGAACATGTTAATATGGCCATGTCCTTGACTTATCTGGACAAAAGTGAGCTTTGGGCTCAGGTTACTTCCTAATATAAAAGCATACACACAAATAGTTTATGCATGACTCACCCCATCCTAGCAGCATGTATTTCTTCAGCAGACACCTCTTGGTCAGCACAGCAGTGAAGAGCAGCGTATGAAGGAAAATGGCCTCCACCAAAAGCCAGAAGTAGTTACAGGCCACAAAGTACTCCATGCACACCTTGGACAATCTGCACATTATCACTATCTGTTAAAGTGTAAGTTTCAGGTAGATTAGTCTCAGAACTGTATCCACTGAAAACCACAAACAAATAAGAAGACATTATTAACAGTCTTTAGAAAAAACACTATGGTTAGTGTACCGGAGAGCTCGAGTAGGTGTTCCATCCAGGGTCGTCCTTTGGTAGGTTGGAATACATGATGTGCATTATGATCTCCTTAGAAAGGATAGCTGCAGCTCTCAGGATGAATGACACAAACAGATTCATATGGATGTAGTTCCTGGTACAGTGGAGCTTCCTGGTAAGAAGATACAGAAGCAATTTGAAAAAGCCATTGATCCTTCTTGTGCAACTGTAAAAGCATTACTGAGGGCACATGACATAACATAAGTGGAAATGAAAAATGCTCTTGGTTCTCACAGGTACATGGAAATGTTTGTGGCTTTTAATGTAATTAAAAATGATAACTTGTCTCCACAGGCTTGTAAATATCTCTTCCTAGTGGGTAACTGTCAAGTCCTGTAATCCTCTGCATAAAATCAATGCAGTTGAAGTTAATAAGTCCATCCTATATTTTGCTAGTGGTATAACAGAATTATAGAAGCTGTATCCTGCCGAGTGGAAGCATAATGTTGTAGATGTTTTTAGGCCTAAAGGATACCTTCAGTTACCATCCAAATGTAGTGCCAAAATGTAGCATCCATATTGCAACTGAAGTCTGTGGAGATCTGTTAAAAATGCAAAAAGTAGAAACTTCCAGCTTTTGTTTCCTTTACGTAAAGCAAGCATGCCAGGTTTACTAAATATGGCAGCTCTATACATGTGAACTACGGTCTACAGTTGGCAGCTCGACTCTATAATGATCTAGTAAAAAATGTTATCATGTTATCATACACAAGATCTGATGACCAAAGGTTCAAAGTTAATACCAAAGTTGTCATAAATCTTTATAAACTTTATTTTTCTGAACATTAAAAAGTTGTTTCAAACCTTAGCATGCCCATTAGCAGAGTGGCTAATATGAGAGACACCAAAGACAAGGAGTAGCCAATGACAGAGATGAGCCTGAGGGCTGTATGACGCAGCATTTCATCCTCCTGGAAACAGATATAATTACACAATAAAACTGACGGAGGCAATGCTACACTTCTTTAGCACAAAAATTCTGATTAAGGACAATCAAGAAAATAATCCCTTATAGTCTTTCTAGAACTTTTACGCCTAGAGAAAGAAACAAATTGCAAATTGCAAATAGAGACCTCGCTTTCAGCGTTAAAACCTAAAGGGAAACTATGTAATACACACCCTTTCCCTCACCTTGTCTTTAAAGTAATGGTGCTCCTCACACTCTGAGACATCCCTCCAGGGCTCGGAGGAGTTCTCCATTTGTCGCCATCTCCCATTTTCCAAGCATTCTCTATGTGCGCTCCTAGAATTGTCTGGAGGTAAATGGAAGAAACATGGATGGGCATTATTTCCTCTGACAGCTCAGTGAGAAAAAAGGGTGACTTGGAGGGGCGATAATTACTTTACGTTTATTGTTTTGTATTTATTCTGGGTAGGCAGTTCTTCTCCTTGGAAGAAGAGGTCAAGAATTCAAACTTCATTGTGATATATTCTGTATCATTTTCTGGTGGTAGATTTAAGAAATGTGAAATGTTAAAGTACTTCAGGGCACATCTTTATATTCAGTCTTTCATAAAGTTTCTAAATATGAGGGACATACTGGAAAAATGTCATCTGATGTCCAAAATTAGAGGGGTAGCAGTCTATGCTAACATTTATTTTCCCCTAAGGGACTGTGTCACTTACAGTTCAACAATTTAGCATGAAATTCTATCAAAATTGAATCGTGCTCAGTTATAACAATGGTTATTTGAAGCTGGGTGATTTTGTATTACTTCTGCATGTATAGTTCCTCCTGTCTTACTATTGAGAAAATAATTGCATGGAAAATTCAAATTGAATAAAACTGACTTGAGATTGCACAAAAAAATTACATGCACTTTAAACACACACATACACACAAACATAAAATAACGACAAATTTACTCCGATCATTGTGAAGTGAAATTGTGGCATTATGACAGCCCTAAATGCAACCTGTGCTTTTTTTCCATAGTTAATAAAGAATACAAGAATTCTTTATTAACCTACAACTATTGGCAAAAACATTAAAAATGTTATTTCAGTGTATATTTAAGAGAAGAAGCATTTTAAATTGTGTAACAGTGGGTTACAGCTCAGGACAGAGTTCCAAGAGTTTATTATGACCATTAGGCAATAATACTGTGACTATGTTTCTTCTTTTTCACGTTTAAAGTGTGACTGTGTAATTAGATGTTTTGATTTTGACATTTAAATGCACTGTAAAATTCGTATGCTTTTTGCTGCATTCTTGTGACTAATGAACAAAGTATGCATAATACAGTTTTTAAAAATTTGTGCACTCCTATGTGATTTGTTTTGGATAAAACAACATTACCGTCACTGATCCACGGTAAGAAAGACGGACAGGGGACGGACACATTTCCAGGAGAAGAGTGGGGCCAACATACAAACATGTCAAACGCTCCTTTGCAGTAGTTTCCTGCAATAGAAATAATGCTTGAGGATTTTGTAAAGGTAATAAAAAATGACAAATATGAAGGCTTGCAGAAGGCTTACCAGTTATTGAGAGTGCACTCGCTACCAGAGTTTTATTGCAGTTCTTCGAGTATTCATTCCGCTTAGCAATCAGACTTTCAAGCAGTGAACCTGTTACCTTCCATTCAGATGGAGAAAGAAGTGAGAGAAAAACTGTTATTTGATATGTTTTCGCTCAGGATGATATCTGGGAAAGAATTGTTTAAGATGCTTATATAAAAGACCACATAAACAATACATCGTACAAAACGCTGATCATTTGACTTATTGGTTTTTATCAGGGGAACATCTTTATTGGTAATGAAATTCATGGACTCCAAACTCTCTCAAATTTGCCCACTACAACAAAAATTAAAAAATAACAGTTAAAATTTAATTAAAAGTCTAACAGACAGGTTGTGTGAATAACATTTTGGAATATAGTTAATCACGAGAAGAAAAGACAACCCATCATTTTAAAAGTAATTTTCACTTAGGGGCAATCGTGACTCAAGAGTTGGGAGTTCGCCTTGTAATCGGAAGGTTGCCGGTTCGAGCCCCGGCTTGGACAGTCTTGGTCGTTGTGTCCTTGGGCAAGACACTTCACCCGTTGCCTACTGGTGGTGGTCAGAGGGCCCGGCGGCGCCAGTGTCCGGCAGCCTCGCCTCTGTCAGTGCGCCCCAGGGTGGCTGTAGCTGCCATCACCAGTGTGTGAATGGATGTGTAAAGCGCTTTGGGGTCCTTAGAGACTAGTAAAGCGCTATACAAATACAGGCCATTTACTAAAATTGTTTAATTATGGGTGTGTTCAGATGTGAGACGCTATCTTTTTCTTTTACCAAGGCACGCTTACACATAAGGATGTTTTCCTAATGACTTCTCTAACTGACTAACTGCACCATCTTATGGCACACACTTGTGTTACATGAAAGTAAAGATGAGTTTTAAACTTAAGATATTAGTTCAACACAATACCAAATGTAGATGTCTAGAACATGAAGTTATGGTGTTGTTTCTTCAGATTGTTGTAGTTCATTTTCGGAGGTTTTAAATATTTCTAAGTGCAGCATTTAAAAAAAGAACCTCTAACCAAGCTCAGGAAGGCCAACAGGGATAAAATGTATAAAAGTGCATCAATAAGATTCAGTTTAATCTTCATTTTAATGAGGTTTGAAACACCTTCTGTGACACAAACATTTTCTTTGTTTTCATGTCCTTTACAACAATCGTGTTTTGTTAGTGGCATTTTCTTATTATTAATAATGTGCCAGCAAACATGACTGTGTGTGCCTACAGGTCCAACAATCGTTTTGAGGTGTCTACATGGGTTTTCTATGAGTAAACCTAGTATAAATTGTCCACCAAAAAACCCCATTAGGAGACCAGAGGGGTGAAACTACTGTCTGGTCTGCATGGACCAGCCTGGAGGCTATTTCCAAGCACTATATATTGCATATGTTTTTCAGCTGACACTGGGATGAGCCAAGTTTGTTAATACAAATATCTAATCAGTCGATTACACTGCAGCACATCAATGCTTTTAAACATGTAGACATGGAAAAAAGAACCTGCTGAAGGTCAAACCCAGCATCAGAACGTGGACAAAGGCAAATTAGGGACTCTGAATGTGCCATGGTTGTTGGTGAAAAGATCTGCTGAGACGTTCCTGCATAATCATCTCAAGAAAATGTTTAGTAAGCAGTAGTTCTCTGTGCAAAAACGCCTTATTGATGCCAGAGGAGAATGGCTAGCGTGCATTGAGCTGACAGGACTGTATGCCAAAGAGCATACACAATGCATTGATCCTTAAAACGGCTGCAACACCTGAAGACCACCCAGTGTACCACTCCAGTCAACGAGAAGGCAACGACAACCGATGATTGGAAAAATGTTTCCTGATCTGAGGCGTCATCATCATATGATTCATTTATGTATTTAAGTGAATGCTTAGTACCCTGTGTAATCATTGCATATTTACCATATTAAGTTACTCAGAAGGAGTTTATGAAAGGAGCACAGTTTAATTTTAAGTTTTTGCTAATTAATTTTGCTTCAAATTAAGTGAAAATTAAATCAGTTGTTCAATATTATGAAAGTTTATTTATTCATTCATTCATTGCTGATTAAATTAAAGCGATTTACAGTTAGCTACAGTCATTTAATTGAATTGTCTATTTAATTTAATGATTGCAAGATTGAATCTTTCACAGTATCTGCAGCCTGCAGATGAAGGCACCGTTGCAGTATCCTTTTTTATCCACTTGGTGGGAGTATTTAATCAGGAGCAGCATCTGTGACTGAGGGAACATTTTCATCTTAGTTTAATCTTCAATTGATACATGCAATTTATCAACCTGGCTCACTGCATTAGTGACATGCCTTCAGCAATGCAAACACACACCTGTGTATTTATTCCGGCCTCAGTGACATATACAGAGTGTATAGTTGTGCCCTGAGCTGGGTCATAAATTCTAATTCCCCCTTAATTTGCTTTCATTAGTGAGACGTCAGCATTTCCTGTATTTGAGACCCCGTCTTTTATAGATGATATCTAGCTCACCTATCTTATCTTGGTTGAACACTTCCAAGCTTCACATCAAAATGAGAGCAACAGCTGAACTAGGCAACCGCCTGTGCCGCTCAGAATGTCCCATGTGAGCCAGCTGATAGAGAGCGTTTTGACTCTCTGAGGGTTGTCTTGTCAAAAACCCATCCAGAGGAATATAAGGAATAGCTGTCTCACTGTCTTCTCTCTTGTCTCCTGTGGGCCTAAACCTCCTTTAAACTCAAACAAAGGCTCCAACCCCCCCCCCCCTAAAAAACCAAAAACCTTTCAAGGACTCAGATGTTAGCTTTGCTTTAAGTTCTTTCAACAAAAACAACAACAATAAATCTAGATTATCCTTTCAAGAATAGCAAGTTGGTTGAGCACGTTGCTAAAGGCAAGTAAACGCTGCAGAAAATACATAAAAGCCAGACGGATCACATCAATGTTTGGGCTTAAAACAATCTGCAACACAATGCATTATATATGTCTCCACAGACAACTGTTAGCTGTCATTGTTACTGTTATTTTGTGCTGCAAAATGATCGTTTGAATCAAATATAGAAGACGTTTCCATTAAGTGTGACGCAGCTCTCACACTCAGTGATAAATACTGCTTTTCTGTCTGGTTATAATTTCACAGAAAAGCCTCAAATGTGTGTGTATGTACAGTTTACCTGATGGCTGTAGATGATAAAGAGCAGTGTGAGCAGGAGTTTGGTCCTCTTGTTCCAGGCTGGCATTGGAGCCGGCATGGCTCTGTGTTCACATTGAAATCAATTGGTGTCTGGTCTCCTGGCTTTCCTGCCACCTCATGCCTTTCGCTTTGGCTTGTCGGGCCTCTCACTCATCCTTGCTTTAGCGCCGTACTTCCTTTTTTGCACTGCTGTTCCAGCTTCACTGCATCAAAAAGAGTGGATTTGAACCTGACCTCCTTCCAAGAAACTCCGAAAATTTTGTTACGACGGAAGGATGATTTGAAAGAATTGTGCTCAAAGCTGGTCTCCCACCTATACCAGTTATCCTTAGAGTTCCTTAGATCCAGCAAATGCTTCCACTCTAGTTCTTCAATTAGCTACTATATTACTTTTTAATAACAGATTTCATGGAGGGTAAAACCAAGTTCTCATCTGTTCACGAAGAGCTCTGGGACTGAGGTGGATCTGTCTGTGCTCCCTATAGATACAGAGCAGCTGAACACGCCTGTGGATCCTCACCGACAGATTGCCTCTCCCACCCAGTCCTCCCCTAACCAATGAAGATAAGGCCCCAGAAGAGTATAAATGAACTAACTTTGTTGTCCAGGAAAACTGATCACACAGGAGTAAACTGGTCACACACTGTTGTACCAGCATTCACTGAGATTTCATGCGCATATGCACTGAAAAAAATCACAATGCACATACAAGCACAAGCAAATACCACCTTAACTTGTGACAAAAAGAGAAGACACAACTGCTCCCTTCTGTCTAACTAGCTCAAACAGTAACTGGGCATCACCCAGCATTTCTGACACTAATGGGGATCTAGTGTAAACTAACATCCACAGAAGCCAAACACAGACGAGCAAATTAGAGAGCAAAGAGCCAGGGTTGGTGCATTAAAAACCCATCTCAGTATATCATTAAGAATAAATCGCCTTGCGTAATTTATTTTTAATTGACAAAAGCTAATTTCACAATCAGAAAGGAAGTAGTAACAGTATTCGTTGACTAACCAATTAGCTAATTAAGCCACAACTTTCTCATGACTTTTTACAGCAGATAGAAAAAACTTAAACAAAACGACAGATAAAATGTTATTACATCACATGGATCACAAAAAACCTTGCATATGATGAATTCTTATTTCATAACCTAATAATTGCATTCTGAATTTTCTTACTAACAAATAAATTCCATTTCAGTTCAGTTCAATTTGATTTTATTTAATAGCACCAATTTACAACAACAGCTGCCTCAAGGCGCTTGATGATGTATTAAAGCTGTATGTACGCATGCACGTACAGTCCTGTGAAAAAGCAGTTGCTCTTTTGTGACCTCTTAGTTAATTGTATTTTAGAAGCAGTTACATGTTTCAGAACATTTTGATTTTAAACGAAGAAATGCAGTTTTAAAAATCGGATTTCATTTATTAAGGGAAAAAAGCTATCCAAACCTGCCAGACTGAAGTAAAAAAGTTGTGCCCAATCATAGATTAACTGTGATTAACCACATTTGTTGGAAAGCTCAATTTCACTAGCCACACCTAGGAGAGATTACTGTCTGACAAGGGAACCAGGCTAAAAGCCACAATCTAAAGAAACAGCTACGCAACAAAGACTTCAGTTTACTCCACAGTAAGAGTGATTATTCACAAACTTGGAGAAAACTTGGAACAGTGGTGAACCTTCCCAGGAGCGGCCGGCCTACTAAAATTACTACAAGAGCGCATGAATGACTCATCCAGGAGGTCACAAAAGAACTATGGAGAACATCTAAAGAGCTGCAGATGCCACTTGTCTCAGTTGAGGCCAGTAATCATGACACAACCACAAGAAAGACGCTATGATTTTCCCTAAGATTTTAGGAAAAATATTTTGTGAACTGATAAGACAAAAGTTACCTTTTGGAAGGTTTGAGTCCTGTTACATCTGGCATAAAACTTTCAGAAAAAGAGACATCTTACCAGCAGCACCAAACATGGTGGAGGTAGCAAGCAAGCAATTTATTTATAAAGCACTTTCAGATCAGCCCCCAGCTGAACACAAAGTGCTGTACACTTGACATGCCAGAAATGATACATTGAAAATGTTAAAAAATAAAAAAATAAAAAATAAAAATAAAAATAATATAAAATAAAATAAAAAATAAGATGATTATTAAAATGACATTTAAAATAATAGGTAGTGTGATGTCTGCAGCACTTTGCTGGACAACTTGCTGCAACTGATGGGACCATGAATTCTGTTTATTACCACAAAATCCTGAAGGAGAATTTTCCAGCCATCACTTTCTGTCCTGAAGAGCAAGTGCACTTGGGTTATGCAGCAGGACAATGATAGAAAACACACCAGCAGGTCCACCTCTGAATAGCTAAAACAAACAAACAAACAAACAAACAAACAAACAAACAAACAAACAAACAAACAAACAAACAAACAAAAAGGTTTTGGAGCGGCTTAGTTGAAGTCTGGACTTAAATCCTATTGAGATGCTTTAGGACGATCTTCAACGGACGTTTACAGGCCGTTTGAGTGTGTATGTAATCTCACACCACACATGTACAAACATAATCAGCAAAATTATCTAACGAAAGGAAGGTGAAATGAAGAGATATCCCAGGCAGCAAAGTGACTCCGAATGTGATATTTACCTATTTTCAACTTCAAGGAAAAACCTCAGATTTGTGTATTTGTTACATGTTAATTAGACTTTAAAGATTTACTGTAATATGAATGTGACAGAATCCATTTTAGAGAAAGCTTGGCAATACAGAGCTGTGGCTGAATGTGCACACTATGTGCCTGCAGACAGTAGAGATTAGGTTTAGACTAGAGGAAAAATACATCAGAATTTTCAGTGTAATTTGAAAGATTTAAATAGCAGTGTGCGGTCTCAAGCAGCAGACGTATGGCCTTAGGGTACTGGTGTGGAGGGATTCTCATTTATAGCTGGACAGCAGGAAGAGAAGAGGCTGTTGAAGAGGTAATGTGAGAGTTCAAATGTGGCCATTTCAAACCCACTTAATGGTCGAAACCTCTCCCATGGTTTGTGCTCTGGTTCCATTTATGAGAGCTTCACTAAACCTGAGAGCCACTCTGAGTCTTTTACCAAGAAAGTGATTGTGAGATAGCGATCTACTAGTAAAGGCAGTGGAGTAAAATGGATAAAATAACTGTATAAATCCCATTCTAGTAAGTCCAATTTTCTATTTTAGTTTTAGGAAATACACTGCTGGTTACATATCCAGAATTGAAATCAGTAAAATACAAACCATGTATACATTTACCCATAAAACAAACATATTGATAGTGTAAATGCATGCTAAATGATCTGTTAAGGATTTACGACTGATTGCAACAGGACACTCTTTTCTAGACATTTAAAAACAAAGGTTAGGTGTGTATGTGAAGGTGTTAGATGTGGTTGTGGTGGTCAGCAGTGACTGCTGTTGTCATGATAGTCACAGGACAGTTCAAACGTTTAATTCACAAACTCTGGTTTGAATAAGAAAGTCAATATACCTGCAGTTTCAGTGAGTCAACTGAGGAGCACAGTCTCTGGCTCCCTTGAGACAATGAAGCTGGAAGGGTGAATTACATAGTTCAAAGTCCAAACTGAAGTAAATCCATGAGATGAGGGTCTGACAAAGGCAGCAAACTGAAGGGACGCACAATCAGGGATTCCTGGGAGATGAGAGTGTGAATCACCCGGAAAACAACAATTCTGAATATTTAGACTTACAAGCCCTAAATTACCACAAAGCCAAGCTGAACAGCCTGACAACGAGTAGCTCAAAAGCCAGTTAGGCAGTTACAGGCAATGACACACAGGTGTGATGATGCAGCTGCTGCAGCCCTCGATCACACCTGCTCTCAAAGCCCAATCACACAAAGACCTGGGAGCAGAAGAGAGAGAGAAAGCGAGAGCAAAATTAGAGGGGCGGTGTACAGGGCTCCAGGTAACCATGGCACCTGTCAATTACTGCACAGTAAAGAACAACAGGACATGAGAAAGTGACTGGAGGAGATTTTTAAATAAACAAATGTGTTTCTTGTTTGGCCGACATTTTCAACTTTCTCTCATTGCCTCCACCACCAAAACACCAAGATGCTAACAATGGGAAATATATAGGTTAATACTATTTATATTACACTGTCATATTATTTATGTTTTGTGAAAAAAACAACATGAAATTCTGAATATTTTTGGATGCAAACCTGTCATGGAATATGTATAAACACTGCATCCATAGCATTTTTGCAAAACATCATAGCAAAAATAGGGAGACATCAAGCGATGATGAGCTTGGTTGGTTGTTTCCAAACAACAGCTCAGCAGCAAGGAGATTTTCATCGTGTCAGTAGGGGGGGGGCTTGAGCTCCTGTTGGCAGAGTTGGGACCACATCTATGGAGGCAGAGGAAAAATTTTAAAGAGCCGATTGACCCAGAGCAGCGTCTAGCTGTGTGTCTGAGGTAAAGCAGTATTATTTTACAATTTTCATATCACTGTATATTCAGTATCTGTGTTCATTTTGAGCTACCAAAAAACCCATGCAAAATTCTCCTGTGAAATGACACAGTAATTTTCAACTAACAAAATATTTGCGAGAATTTTACATTCTCAACATTTAGAGGCCTAAACTGATGCTTCTAAACGGGGCTTCAAAAACTAGTGGGTGATGTCACAGTCTATGTTATCTATGAGTATCATCGCATTTTTATGCTGGTACAAGCCAATAATAAATGAAACAAATTATGAACTCATAAAAAAGTAAAAAGTATTCATAAAAATATAAAAGCTGAATTAAAAGTACAAAGAAAGTTTCATTTATTAATTCAATTGTCCAGTTTGTGGTAACAGACTAAGTTAAAGCATGTTATCTATCTATACTATATCTATAGGCATTACGGCTAAAGTGCTAGCAAATTCTGTTTTCTTCATTCAGCAGACAAAGAGCAACAGAAATATTCATTTGAAAGATATGTTTCATCTGATTATATCATTGGAAGTCCAATTCTTGTCTTACTAATTATCGAAAAAATATAAATGCCAAAGTCATAAAACCAAAGTAATTTAACTGAAAAATGATAAAATGCTCAACAAAACTGTGAGGAACGGATTTAGGTGCTAATTCTCAGAGTTTCAGTATATTTTAACACTGGCCAGACTAGCTTTAAATTTCTTTGTGTCATAAGGTGTGAAAAACATTCATGTGAAATTCCTGTCAGTTATAGTGAGTGTGCTGCATAAATGAATGCATGTGTGGCACCATGTTGACATAAACTTTCAGGAAGTTGGTCCTCTTTACTACGGTGGCCCTGAGAGGCCAAAGTGACTGCAACTTAAGGAAACACCAGCAATAAGAAAAACGCTGCAAAAGCACACAAAACACAACGGAAATAGGAAACATGACAACGGAAATAGGAAAAAACACAAGGGAAGTGTTTCTGGGGAGAC